ATGGGGATTAACCATAGAGCCCCACCTCAATGACTCAACTCCAGTGACCTTTTCCTACACCTTATTCATCCACACCCATGGCCACATCCAGGTGCTTTTCATCACCCCAAACTGCATCACCTCTGAAATCTTAAATTCGTATGTTCCACTCTCTGGCTACCTTTCTTTTTCTAATAAGGGCTTTTGCTTCCTCACCCACGCTACTCCTATCCCAGGGTTTCTTGCTTTCTCCCGATTTATCAGTGTCCTCCAACCTAATTATCTTCTCTGATTGGCCCAGGCCCTAGCATTTATTATTTCAATCCCCATCTTTTCCATACTCTTAATTTACCACATTTTGAACTGGTGCCATCCAAAAATTCATTTTCTCCTGCTTCAGGAGAGTTCTTCGTGCCACACAATATTTTTTTTCAGGAGTTCTTGGTCACCTTTCTCTCCTATCTCCTCCTATATCCTCAGAGATCTCTTTCCATCAATCACTACCCTAACTTCTGAATCTTCACTCCTTCCTTCTCTAATATTTCTTTCTCCTCTGCACAACAATGTGCTCAAACCTCCCATCATATAAAAACAGTCCCTCAACCTTGCCTCTCTGTGTTTGCTACCCTCCCTCTCCTTTTCTTCCTAACCAAACTTTTTGAAAGAATAGTCTACATTCATTGTCTTCACTATCCTCCCAGTTTTACCCCCTTAATACACTGCAGTCTGGTTCTGTTTCTGGGCTAGATTCTCTCCGATCCCTACTTGTACCTCTGTCATAAAACTTACCATCATACTGTAACCATCAGTAGACCTAAGTAACTCAAAAAGTAGGACCTTGTCTAACTTATCTATGTGGTCCCAGAGCCTAGCACAGTGCTTGATTGATAGGAGGTGCTCAATAAACGAATTATGTCACAAACACTTACTGAACACCTACTAGGAACCAAGTACTGTATCAGCTCTGTGTGAATCCACAACACTTAGACCCTAATCCATCACAAAATCTATATTTAAGCACCCTTATTCTCACAGAAACTTTCTCCCCTTTGTGAATGTTAAGTTAGTACATTTAATAAAGTCATACAACCCCTGCCCTGTGCTATGCCTTACTCATAATAGTCATTCAACATTTGTTGAATGAATGAATGCTCAATAGATCTCAGCAGACCAAAAGCACTAATTATGAAGAGCTTCTGTTGAAAATGGCCACAAAGATGCCTATTCTGGGATCTTGTTCCTTGCATAGTAGGGCTTTTCAGGCCTTCAGAACCATTTCTAAACAGTTCTCTAGAAACACACACATTTGCAACTTTTTCCCAACATTGCTGATAGTTTTGTTAAGCCTGTTCATAATCTCTCCCTTTTCTTTATCTTCAACTTCTCTCCCCTCTCTCCAGGCTTTTTCGCCTCCATCTATAAACAGGTGCAAAAGTCTCTCCTAGTCACGAATAAAGAAATACCTAAATTAGAAACCCTCTCTTGACCCCAACATCCCACTTTACCTTATATGTTTCCTTTCTCCACCAATCTTTTCCAAGAGTAGTCTATACTTGCTTGCTCCATTTCCCTCTTCCCATTGGGTCCCACACCAAGTGGTCAGAAGGGCTAGAATATGGGTTAGAATGGTCAGAGAAAAGCTTCACAGACAAGTAAGGGCATAGCGCACCAAGGAAATACTGTGAGTAAAGCACAGGAGATGGAAATGTATTAGAGGAGTATGAGGATTTCCTATTTTGCTTTTAATCTGTTTTATAATTTTCTTTTTGAAGTAGGTAACACATGTAATACGATACACACTTCAAAAGGTCCAAAGTGAAAGTAAGTGATCTTCCCACTCCTACCCAGTTCCCTTCTCTGGAGGTAATCACGGTTAAAAGTTTCTTATGTATCCTCCCAGAGATGGTATATACAATTACAAATATTTTTTTATATATGGAGTTCCTATACACTATAATAGAAGAAAACAGGAAGTGCAATGAGCATGGTGAACTGACAGGCACAGGGAAGGTTTTGAAGAATTAGGGAATCTCATCTTCCTTCCAATATACTCTTCCTTTTGAGTTCCCACCTCCATCCTCCCAAGCTGCTCAGACTCAAAGCTTCTGCACACTGGCACAGTGGTCTGCAGTTTACAGTGCACTGTCATAGTCTTTATTTCATCTACTTTGGCACAAAGCTGTGAACTAAGCAGAATCCCAGCAGTTATTTGCATATTACAGTTAAGTCTATTAACAATCCCTCCACCCCTGCCACTGTTGTTTTCAATTTTGTTTCCAAAATGGAAGTTACATACATCTACTCTTCACCACCTCCACTACCCCACCCTCCTTTAGGCCTTTATTACTTCTCATTTGCAAAGTCAGAATACTTGCCTACTTCATGAGGTTAAGTACATTCAGCAAAATTAAATAAGAACTGTAACAATTAGCAAGCACTCATCAAATATTTGTTCCTTTCTCCCATCCCCAATATCTCCCCACCACCCCACCACCCCACCACCTTTAATCCATTCTCCATTTTACATACCTGAGTCATCAAAATGAGGTTAAATTCTCAAAATTTTTTGTGTCTATCCTCTAGTGATTCCAAGATCAGTGCATCAGAGTATGACAACTTACCTTAACTCTGAGAAAAGGCACTAGAAAATTTCTGGTAACGCCATCCCCCCCCAAAAAAAATCATTCTCAGTGATTTTTTCAAAGGCATTGGCTTTACAGTCTAGGGTAGCATCATTGGCATCTAGAAACCAAAAAGATCAAGATCTACTCTGCATTTCCACCTAAAAGAATCCTACATGTCCTTCATGACTCAGTTTGAATGTCACCTTCTTCTTGAAGCCTTCCAAGATCCTGCCTATGTTACCTCTTTTCACCCAAGTCCGAATTTGTCCTTTCTCTGCATTACCAAAGGTGAGGGGAAGGAAGGAGGGGGAGAGGGAAAAGAGGAAGGGGAGGGAGATATACCAACTTCTATTCCTCCTGGTCTGGTCCAACCCATTAATACTCAATTCTCTGTTCTGAAAAAACTTATTGTCCAACCTCCTAAAATATGCCCAACTTGATAAGTAATGGTTACCAAGCAGCAGGTCAGGAAATCCCCTAACTTTCTAGGTCCTGGTTAAAAATTAAAGACATATACAATGAAATATTCTTTACTCTTAAAATAAACTTACTTGTTTTCAGGTTGATTTTCCTTTTGTATATATGAATTTAGCACAATTTAATTTTTATCATATATGTCTTATATCTGCTTTATTTCAATTAAATCATGAATATTTTCCCATGTCATTACCTTTTCTTTAAAATATTTTTTAGCTATGATGATGTGCTGTACTCTAGCCCAAGCAATGGAGTGAGACCCTGTCTCAAAAAAATTTAATGGTTTTATAAGTCTTCCATCCTGTTTTCATCCATAATATATTTGTTACTCTATTTGGGGGCATTTATGGTTTTATTCCCATTCTTGTTTTTTTACAAATAATGTTATATTGAAGGTACATGAATCTTTATCTGAATTTCCATTTCCTCGGGAGACATTCTTAGAAGTTGAATTTCTGAGTCATAAGATATTAACATTTTTAGAGCTGTTGATAGATATCGTCAAACTACTTCCAAAAACTATATATCAATTTAATCCACTGGCAGTGTACAAGAATGACTACCTCACTGCACTCTCATCAGCATAGAGTATTATCTTTTCTATTTTTCTCTAATTTGATAGGCAGCAAAAATGACATGCCATTATTACTTCGATTTGATTTCCTTGAGTACTAGCAAAACGACAGTTTTTCAATAATGTTAATATACATGATTTGTTCTTCCTATTCTGTTAATCACCTATACGTCTCCTTTGCCCACTTTTGATTGAGATCTTGCTGTTTCTCTTACCAACTTACATGTACTTTGATATGGTCAGCATGTTAGATAATAATTATATATAGTTTATTCTTGCTATTCAGTTGATAGGTTTTATAAAGTCACTGGAAGCATTGAGTTAGGGAATACTAAACCATTGGTCTTGGGGAAATACATGGTTAGGTTCCTGTGAGCCTTTGGTCACATTTTCATCAACCAGTCAATATACAACCTTGTTTATGTGTGTTTCCATTTAAATATACTTTATTTAATATATACTGTTGATTCATTGCCTTTGAAATCATGGCCAAGAACACTATAACTCATGCCTGAGAAAAGCTTATCTAACACACATAGTTTCTCCATAAGGCACATTGCAGCCTTCTTCAGCTTAGAAACTAGACAGCATTTAGCACGATAGTTGAATCACCATTATAAACAGCAAAATTACCAATAAAAAGGCATAGAAATGTGAAAAATCTGTCACCAAAAAGACCATGAAAAGAGCATTTATTTACAATATGAGAGATGAAACAAAAAGACAGAACTGGATCTCAGCTGGAAACTTGCACAGTGGGCAATTCAAATTTTTGCCACACTGCTCATATCTGCAAATGACCACAAAAGTGCCACAAGTATTTTTTTTTTTTTTGAGAGAGAGGGAGAGTCTTGCTCTGTCATACTGGCTAGAGTGCAGTGGCATCATCATAGCTAACTGCAACCTCAAACTCCTGGGCTCAATGATCCCCCTGCCTCAGCCTCCCAGGTAGCTGGGATTACAGGTATGCACCACCATGCCCAGCTAATTTTTCTATCTTTTTGTAGACACAGGGTCTTGCTCTTCTCAGGCTGGTCTCAAACTCCTGGGCTCAAGTGATCCTCCCACCTTGACCTCCCAGAGTGCTAGGATTACAAGCATGAGCCACCATGCCCAGCCTTGCCACAATCATTGATCTTGGGTTTATAAATAAATTTTAGCAAGCAGGCAAATTTGCAAATATGGAATCCACAAATGAAAATTGACTGTATCTATCATATTGTAGCACTGTTTTCCAGTTATCATGTATATTTTAATTTTGTTCATGTTTTTAGATTTACAGATTTTCATTTCTATTTATGCAAATATATAACATTTTTTCCTTTGTGATATTATATATTACTTACACCTATCCGAAGAGGAAATAATTCAATCGTTGATTCACCAAAATTTTCTTCTATTTTTTAACTCTTTAGTATTCTGCAAAAATAAAATAAAATAAAATAATTTCAGTCAGGGTCTCACTCTGTTGCCCAGGCTAGAGTGCAGTGGTGTCATAGATCGCTGCAACCTCAAACTCTTGGGCTCAAATGATCCTCTTGTCTCAGCCTGATGAGTAGCTGGGACTACAGCCACACACTACCAAGCCTGGCTAATTTTTCTATTGTTTGTTTGGAGACAGGGCCTTGCTATGTTTCTCAGGCTGGTCTTGAACTCCTGGCCTCAAGCAATCCTCCCACCTCAGTCTCCCAGAGTGCTAGGATTACAGGTGTGAGCCACTGCACCCAGTCAAAAACCAAAAAAACCTTCTTTAATACATTTGAAATCTAGTTTGGTAGATGGTGCAGCAAATCTTTTTGGGAGCTAAGAAGCCACCAATCATCATACAGTGAACCTCACCTCTTAAGCACTGTATTGTAACTGCTCTCAATGAAGTGCCCTTCTAAATACAAGTAGATCAGTTCCAGAGTATCTAAGAAACTTCAAGAAAAAAAAAAAAGGAAAAGCAAGGAAAAAAGTCTTACCTTTTTCATTAAATCTAGGTGTTGGATATCAGGAGAAGAGATGGGGCTGGTGATATCCTAAAGCCACCTCATGGCTGCATTCCTCAGTGAAGCAGGATAGCATGGGGCTAAAGGCCAAATGACTGCCAGAGACAAAGACAGGTAGGATGCAGTTCTCTCCATAACACAGAACAGTATTTCTCAGACCATGGTCAAGAACAACCTGCATCAGAATCATCTGAAGTGCTTGTTAAAACAAAGATTCCTGGGTCCTACTGAAGACCTATTGAATCAGAATATTGGCAAATGGGTGCCCAGAATCTTTACTGTAACAAGCTTCACAGGTGAAGTGTTTACACACTAAAGTTTAAGACTCACTGCCACATATAATCACTATTTAACAATAATGATTGGGCATCAATATTATGGTAGTACCTGCTAAAAGACTTAGGAGGTGTAGTCAACTATGTACATAATAGGAGTCAGTGGTAGACATGGAGACCAGAAATGAACGAATACAATCTTAGGCCACATCAATAAAAGTATAATGTCTAGAATGAAGGAGGTGATGATCTTGCTCTAACTCCACACCACATCGGGAGTACTATTAATATATTTAGCTTTAGAGCACATACCTCAAGTACGATAAAACTAAAATGTGATGTATCCTCAAAAGGACAATTCAGTTGATGAAGAGGCTGGAATCCAAGACAAATGCAGAATTATCAAAGATGTTAAAACTAGAGGCTAACATCTAAGGATGTCAAACCTGGAGAACTGAATAATCTGGATAACATGACTATCAACCTCAAATAGCTAGAGGACTCTCATGTGGAAGAGATCTCTCAGCCTAGGCAATGCCATCCGTGCTCATGGCTGTACACACCTTCCCCTTAACTGTTGGTTCTCAAATCTCTATATCCAGATGGGGTCATTCTCCTGAGCTTCAGCCCTCCCTAGATCTCTCCAAGTGAATTTTCCACAAGAATCCCAAATTCCACATAGGTGTAATCAAACCATTATTCCCATTTTCACAAATGAAGAATCTGAGGCTAAGAGACATTAAAGAGTTTTCCCCGGGTTGCAGTAAAGAAATTGAACCCAATCTGTCTGACTCTAAAGCTTATGCTCTTTCTATTTTTTATACTTCCTTCCATAATATTGTTGGGGGCGGGGGGAAGAAACCAGAACACTACATATCTACCTTGTAGCTCTAAAACAGAGTAGCAAGTTTTACTGGGGAATTGGTCCTTCCTGAAAAACAAATCTGCTCTTAGAAGCTCTAACCCTAAACTTGCTACATTACATTTTTAAATAAATAAATCCCTGGCAATATCAGGGGCAAAATTATTATGTGGAAGAAGCAGGAGGAGTCCCTTCCCCTCTCTGCACCACAGTTTCCTGATTTTTAAAAAAAGATCTCTATGGCCTCTTACAGCTGTGCCATTCTCAGGGTCTATGGAAGACAGTGTTCTGTATAAGGTACAGACATTATGAATAAACAGTCATGCCATTTAGCCTGTGTAATAGCTCAGCTGCATTCCAACACCATCCTCCAGGACCTGCTGGACTGGAGGCTGATCATATATCTTCATGATATTCTCATCTACTCCAGGCACCCAGCCCAGCATGACGCACTTGTCCACATAGTCCTGACTCGCCTCTGGCAATACCAGCTCTTGACTCAACTGGAGAAGTGATCAGGTAAAAGTATAATAGAAATTCTGTGACATATCTCCCTACAGAGAGTTCTCACATCTTCCTCCAAGGTCACTTACTAGCTTCATGACCTTGGGCAAGTCACTTAATGTCTCTGAGCCTGTTTTCTCATTTGTAAAAGAAAGGCTAATAATACATAATTCACCTGACTGTTGTGAAAATTAAGAAATAATGTGTGTAAAATCAACAGGCATATTCTAGGTATTTAGTAAATGTTTCCTTCCTTCAGTGTCATCCTTGGCTGGGCCATATGAGCATTTCTTTGGATTCACTAATTATTATGAAGGCCCACCCTACCTACACGTCTACTTTCTGAACAGCACCCCCTCTATCAGCCACACAAAGAACATTCAAGAAATGCAAATGGATATTCTTAATCTGCTGAACTGTAGCAATTAAGGCTGCATTTGAGGTTTTCTAGCAAACTTCAAGCCCTAACATGTAGTTAGCCAGCTTCTGCTTAAATGAATACTATGATAGAAAATTCAGTCCCTTCTCTTTTTTCAATTTAATTTAATTTTTTCAGTATATTATTGGGGTACAAATGTTTAGGTTATGTATCTTGCCATTGCCCCCCTCCCCCCTCGAGTCAGAGCTTCAAGTGTGTCCATGCCCCAGTTGGTGCTCATCACACTCATTATGTGTGTATATACCCATCCCCTCCCTCCCATCTGCCTTATGCTCGATAATAAATGTTATTCCTATATGTCCACTTAGGTGTTGATCCATTAATAACAATTTGCTGGTGAGTACATGTGGTGCTTGTTTTTCCATTCTTGGGATACTTCACTTAGTAGAATGGGTTCCAGCTCTCAGTCCCTTCTAATCCAGCCCATTTCATCTTCAGTCAGCTCTGCTGGAACTTCCTCCCAATAATCCTAATTCTGTCCCTTAGGGTCAAACTGTACAGATAAAATCCTATTTCTCATGGCAACCCTGTAGATACTGGAAGACAGCAATTATGCCCCACTCCATCCTCCAGGCTTCTTTACTTAACCTCTATTTTGTCTCTGTCCCTCCTTAAAAGATAACTGCCATAACTGAGCACAATACTTGAGGTATGGTTCTACCAACTAAGAAACAAGTAGAATAATCACCTGCTGCATACTAGACTCTATACTACTATTAACACAGCCTGAGTTTTCATAAACTTTGGCAGCCATGCCAAAGTTTCATAAACATGGCAGCCATGTTGAACATGGACTCATCCTGTAGAGTTGCTAATTTTTTTTAATACTTTTCCTGCCCTCCAAGTTACTAGTTTTTAAGCGTTTTCTGTTTGCTTTATGAAACTAATGCAAGATGCCACATTTATTCTTATCAAATTTATTTTGTTGTTTTTTGACCGTCTTTGCAGTCTGGTAAATTCTTCTTGGATTCCTGGTTCTGTCATCCAGCACATATACTTACCTTCCCATTACAGTTCTCTTTTAACACTTGATGAGTATACTTTTTTACATCTCCATCCAAGCCATTAATTAAAATGTTGAAACAAAGACAGAGTCAAAACCAGAGAGTACAGCTAGCAGCAAGGGCCTCTCTTTGCAATAATGAAACACAACCCTTTTCCTATCTCAATACATCTGAGATACCTTCCCACCACCCATTTACATTGATCAAAGTAGCTCACAAAACATCAGAGATAGATACCAAAGGATGGGTAGGCCTCTTAAGAGCAAAACTAAAATGAGGAGGAAGCCTGTGTGGTCTGTAAAAACCATTATCCAGTAATGGATAATAATTCCATTAAATTAATTCTGATAAATCTTCCAGAGAATGTGCCCTTATCCCTTACAGATCTTAAGAATTACTACTTCAGGGAAACATAGAATCAATAATTAGCACCCTTTGTAAATGGTTTTCCTCATCTGTATGATGGAGCTAATAATACACAGCTCCTGGGGCTGTTTTAAGGATTTAATGATTAGTGCATATAAAGTACTTAGCACAATGCCTGGCACATAGTAAATGCTCAATAAAAGTAGTATTTTAAAAAACCTTTTAGAATCCAACTAAAGGAATGATATTCCAGCTCACGTTTATTCCATCTTGCTCACTAGGATGTTATAAAAATAAAAATCTTTGTCATGTTCCTTGCTATAATACAAGCATACTATAAGCATCACCTATCTGCATCTATTAGTCAAATGACCCTATCAAAAAAAAAAAAAAAGGCCACATTTCCCAGCCCACAACTCTGAGTATAGGATGCAGCTCCCTGAGGGGATATTATGGTCACAAATATATTAAAATTTAATTTTTTAAAGCTGAGCCTGCCATGTCTCCTGTCCCCCTCATCTATGAATGGCAGAATCAGGATCTCCACATTCCTGAAGGCCCATATCATTGCTCTTCCTGTTATACCATTACCTGATCCTGCTGTTTTCAGGGAAGATCCGGGTGAGATTATCCAGGCTTGCCTTGCAACAAAATAATTTTAAGATGTTTAGGCTGAAGGACAGGTTGCAATACCCCACCCTATATCTCCGACATGACCCCCGCCCCCGACATCTCACCACCCCTCCTTTGGGTCACTGTGATTTACGGATGCTCCATACCACATCTCAGGACTTCTGGTGGCCACAGGTCCAGGATGAAATAAGGCAAGAACTGAATCTGGAACCAGAGAAATCTGTGAGTCTGCAACAATGGAAAACATTTTATGCTGTGGCTTTGCTAAGTGCCACTTTAATGATAATCAACATATTATAAAAATAACAAGTGCCCACATCTACATTATACTTTATAGTTTATAAAGTTCTACAATGAACAATTTATCCTTGGCTCCTCAGAACAGTTAGGTAGCTTCATTTGGAACAAACATTGCTGAATAATGTAAAAAGAAATCATCTTTCTTAAGCTAAATTATGTTTTATATCCTCACACATACACAAAAATAATCCCTGCCACACAACCTAGTTTAATGTTAAATGGCAGCTACTTTGCTCCAAAAGACATTAAACCCTAAGCTTTTTATCTTTAGAACAGATGATACTAACTTTATTTTACAAATAAGGAAAACAAGTCTATGGGAGGTTAGATAATTTGCTTAAGGTCCACATAGCAAATAGAAGAACCAGGACTCAAAACCTAGGTTATCTGACTCCAAATGTTCTAATTTTTTTTTCCACCTCAACATTTGGAAGTGCCATTCAACTGTCTTGACTAAAATGGCCGCCATCCTCCTTGTCAAGAAATAGGCAGTGGCTAACTGAAGCCATCTTCCTAAAAGACATCTCTCAACTCACTGGCTCCTAAACCAAGTTTTTTCACAAAAGAATCAGTTTTCCTCCCAGGCAGCAAAGTTATTCTTCCATGCTAGGAAACCTTTCTTTTTTACCTTACAGGTAAACAGTCACAGAGCCTCATCCATCCGCAGAAAAGATGTTGAGACATACTGCACCAAACAGAGCTCCAACCCCACCCTCAATTTTGCAGCATTATGTCACTCGTCATCAAAGCATCTGGCCTGCCCACTGTCCCACTGCAGAGATTTTACACAAATTAGAAATGCTGCAGTCTATGAAATTTTTATTTTTCATCTTCTATGTTTTTCAGCCCCTACCCTTTACACTGCAGTCTCCACAAAGTACAGAAAAGACAACAACCTGGGAGAAATCCAGACAACACAGGCCAATTTCTACATCAGCCCACAAATAACAAGGAGATAGCCAGTCCCACAGATGACAGATTAGATACTGTTCTCAATCTACTGCCTTCTCCCACACATCTCTCTAAAACATTGCAAGATAAATGCCTCAACTCAATCCTAATTAACTTAACTGACTCATTCACTTCATGCCTTACCCATTGTAATTAGCTCTTTTCTTTAAGATATACTAGTCCCTTCTTCTAACCTAAATAACAACCCTAAACAGCTAAATAGCATCATGACTATCCACAGTTAAAGAGATGGGAAGGTGGTCATTCATGGTTTGAGAGTCTATTAATTTCAGCCTGAGGCGAGGCCAAACACAAAGAATGGCCCCAGGGGCTGGCTTGCAGAGCCTCAGCTCCAGCCAGATGGGGCTACTAGATGATGTCAGCTCCTATACTGCTTTCCAGACAAACCAAGGCAGAGCCCCCAAACCCTGCATTACCTTGTCAAAATGGCCTCTCACCTCTCAAAAAAAAAAGAAAAAAAAATAACTTTGGGTGCAACTAACCTCTTTTGAACCTCCTCAACCAACCCTGGCTCCTGTATTTCCCTGTTACCTTAATCTGTTTTCTTTCCTAGTTCTCAGCTCAGTTCCAACTTCTTTAAGTACCTGATTCCTTGCTTTGGCTCGTATCAGCATAGTCTTCAGCTCTTCCTGGATTTACCGATCTCAGGCTCCAGCTCTGCAGAATTGATTTCAACTGGGCAAAATAGATTTGAACTGATCAAGATCAACTTCTGACCATTTTAAACCCATTTGGGCCAGTTTTCCATTGCTAATGCAGGAGCAAGCCACTGAAGGGATCAGGATGAATCAGAAATGAGATGAAGCTGCTTCAATCTGCTTAGAAGACCAGTGGGGGGACAAAAAAGGACCTGATGCTAAGGACCATACCATTTGTGGTGGTGATGCTGGAGGGGGAATCAGGAAGGACCTAATAGTCCGAGAGGTAGGATCAAACCACTGTGGACCCCGGGGGAGGGGCTAACAGAAACTGATGCTCAATGACGCAGGATCAAATCATTGGTGTGAGACAGGAGGGGGAAAGATGCTGATGCTCTCCAGACAGGATCAAACCACTGAGGTGTATAGGGAACCGAACAGGGATGCTTTTTCTATAAGGCACTATTGAACCAATCTGGGGTAGGGACGGAAAAGAAGAAGAGGGAAGAGTAAGAACATAAAGGGCCTAGTAGTCTGTGAGACAGGATCAGACCACTGTGGAGGATTGACGGAAAGGGGATGCTGTTCTAAGAAGCAGGACCAAACCACTGTGGAAGAGAGGGGAGCAAACAGGAGCTGAAATTTCTTCAAGCAAATTTAAATTCCTCGTATAATAGGAAAGTAAAAAAGAATATTATATTCTGTACGACAGAATCAAACTCTGTTTTTATAATTAATAAGGGGCTTTTAAATATATTACTTCATTTGCTCTTTGCTCTGTCCTGATGGTTGGGTCAGACCATCTTCCCACAAAGGCCTCTGCAGTAATTCTCAGCTGCCCCTAATGGTTGCTAGGCAACAGTGAAGCAGCTGCCTGATGAACCTTGCCCTTTTGACATTAACCCCTGGATTTCTGGAAGAAAAATAAGACGTACATACATGAAAAAATTTAGGAAAAAATTGAGACAGTATCATCAAATGCTAGGTGGGGAGGAATAGAAGACAAACACACAGACCTTCAAAAATAAAAGGGACCCAGCAGATAATTAGGAAACGATGGTTATTTGGAGGAAGAAACACTTTGACAAAAGCACAGTCTTATAGACTCAGAAAGCATCAAGTTTGATCCCCCATTAGACCTTCGAGTCTTCCTATGACATCCCTAACCAGTTGTGCTTGAAAACATTTGTGAAAAAGTAGTAGTTCTAACTTCCTGGGCAACCTCATCCATTTTGCTATAACTCTGGTCACTTTTTTTTTTATTATTATTTTGAGCCAAAATTCTCTTCCCCATGGTTTTCACCCAGTAGTCTCAGTTCTGTCTTCTAGAGCAGGCGTTGGCCAACTAGGGTTTACAGGCCATATCCAACCCACCACTTATTTTCATACCAAGCATGAGCTAAGAATGATTTTTACATTTTTAAATGGTTAAAAAAATCAAAAGAAGAATAACATTTTATGACATGTGAAAAATGACATGAAATTCAAATTTCTATCTATGAATAAAGTTTTGTTGGGACATAGCCATGCTCATTCATTTACATATGGCTGCTTTCCTGCCACTATAGCTAAGGTGAGCAGTTGCATCAAAGACAGCAGGGCCCTCAAAGCCTAAAATATTTACTATGTGTCCCTTTATAGAATCAGTTTGCTGACCCCTGATCTAAAGCAAAAAAAAAAAAAAAGAAATCCATTTTGAAGAGGACTCTTCTTAAGTAAGAATGTAATGGGAATAGTAGATATGAGAGAGAAAGAAGAGACCTCACAAAGAATCCCAAATTCTCAAAGGCAGGAAGGAGATTTGTGCCGAAGTCCACCAAGCCCATGAATAACTTCATGTCATTTCCCATGGACTCCAGGGAATAAGGAAGAGATTTAGCTTGTATGGAGAGCTAAGAGTCTCTAAGAAGAATGAGAGAACAGTTGGAAAGCAAGGTCAAGACCAGACTGTCTTGAACACCACATACAGTTACTTGGCTATCATGAAAGAAAGGGAAGAGACACTATTAGGTTTCAGGTTGGGATAGGGTTGAGTGACAGGGCAAAACTGGGACCTAATGAAGATGATTCATGCTTCCAGACGTCATTCTAGTTCTATCTCAGCTCTACACAAGTTGCACTGGACTGAGAAGTTCATATCATTCTGGTCATTCAGGTTTAGAACCATCTCAATACAGGTACCCTAGTATCAACACAATCTGGTTGGAGGCCAGAATCCTACAGTAAACCAAAGACGCATGTTGGGTCAATTTCAAAGGATTTGTGCCTTAGGAGAATAAAAGAACTCTCATCACATCTTTCTCTGATTCCTACACACTTTTCAAAACCCAACTTAACCCATACCTCCCCCAGGGCTCTTGCCTGCCTATGAACTCCTTCAGTTCTTCTTAGTGCCACTCAACACGGTCCTAACTATACCCTGACTAATATTGAAAGTATCTCTTTGTGAAAATGGCCTGTTTCCTCAGAAAGATCTTGAGACCCTAGAGGAAAGGGATCATAACTGAGACTTCTCTGTGTTCCCATGGGATCTGATTAGTTGTTAAGGATATTGATCCAATGATTCAGTGGTCTCTTAGTGTGGGAAGACCCACCTTAGGGGATCTCAGGCACTTTGGGAACTGTGTCAGGCCTTGCCACACATCCAACCTTTCTAGACCGGATAGCCTGGGAAGGAGTGAAGCCTAGTGATGCACTCCAGCCAGGCCTGGGATACGGTGACCATACAAAGAGCAGCTAGCTCTTTTTGGCCCTGATGCCACAATGTCCCTGGATCCCTATCGTTCCTGCTTTCATGGACTCAGGGCTAAATGTCCTGGTCAGAAAGACAAGCCCACATTTCTGGCTGCCAGGCATCCAGTCCCATTTTCCATGGCCTCTGTTGATCCTGGACCCAGCCATCAGGCTGGACTCAACAGAGTCAGGACAAAAATAGGCTCTTGGCCGGGAAGGCTGGCTTTCCACAAAGTACTCTTTCCCCCAACGGCCAAAGCAAACGCCACCGGCCAGAGCTAAAAGCCAGACAGCCGCTCCCGACCTCTGCCGGCCAGCACCAAGGAGGCCCAGAGTCAACAGTGCATGGACAGGTCTGCTATTTCACCCCTTCTAATTCTGCAAACATCAGATTTCCCTTCAGTGAATCTAAACAACCAAACAGAATTAAAGTCATCTCTACCCTCTAGGAAAAAGTAAAAAATCCCCCTTGAGCCTCAATTGCTGAGAGTCAGAGATTCAGTACGTCCCCACTTTCATTCCCCTCAGCCTCTCAAGAGTGCCGAAGCCCACAGGCCACCTTCTGGTGTCTCTCTGTTTAAATTGTTTTTCTCTGTTCCCTTAGGGAAGAGGAAGGAGGTATGCAACATTGAGCTATCAGCACCCACTGTTCTTGCTGGCTCACAGGTCAAGCTGAGACTCAAAACAGAGTCCAACCAATTATTCTTCCTGAATTAAGTATCCAGCCTCCCTTCATGATGAGTGGGCAGGGGCCAGGTTTAAGACACTGGCCAAGAGGGACATGGAGAGAGGAAGAGGAAAGGAAAAGAAAGAAAAAGAGAGTGGTGAAGACCAAGCAGAGACAAAGGGAAGTATTTTTGATCAAGTCTCTTCTGAAAGAGTGACTTTAGGCTAATGAGTGTGAACAGAAAAATGGGAAAATCTTGGTAGTGACAAAGCTAGAAAATGGGACTGCTCTGGGAATGAAGTTTTCTTGTCTGTACACATAGAAACCACTCTTCCCTCCCAGACTAGGGTAACTTGGTTCTGGCTTAGAAAACACGTGGGACTAGGCAGTATTACTCTCAAACAGGGAAGCATCCTTTCTCAGGGAGAGTCAACATCTGATTCAAACTACAAACTACCTCTTTGGTATGCAGGTCCCCTCTAATAATAATCACATTTTACAATAAGTAAAATAATTACTACCTAATTAGCACCAACTATTTATCTGGCAATGTTCTATTTCTAACTGGTCATCAGGGCAACCCAGGGTGCCTAGCCAACTCACAAAGGTACTGAAAGATATTTTAAATTTTTGAGGGAAACATAGTAGAGTCTGTCAGATGCCTCATGAACTACTACTATCAAGTTTTTGCACCTAATTACTCAATACACAGAAATGTTATGTATTTTTATTGGCTTAGGGGTGCTGTGAAAAAGATTACTAAGACACTAAGGGCACAGTGGACTGAGAAACTTTAGGAACTTTTGCCATATAGATGACAAAAGGCATATAGATGCCATATAGATGATGGATCACCTCATGTAATACTCAAACTTTAAGGTAGGTCTCAATATTATTTCCATTTTGTAGATAAAGAAACTAAGGTTGTAAAAGATGAAGTAATTTGTCCAAGGTACTCAGCGAAATGATGGCAAAGCAGAGATGAGAACACAGATATGGCAGACTCCAGAGACTGTGCTCTTAAACCATTCACATAATTAGCTTTTCACACTGTCCTCATTGAATATGCAGGCTGTGAAGAATGCTTTGACAGCACAAGTGAACTTTGTGTTATGGGACTAGTATTACTATTCTAGAAGTACAGAATTTATTAGTCTCTAAATCAACATATATACATAAGGGGCATAAGAAAAGGGATGCCATTTGAAAATAAGAATTAAACAAATGTGAAACAGAAGCCAAAATTTGGATTCTCACCAAGCTATTTCAAATGGTCAACTGCTTTTGAATCAATTCTCAGGTGAACGCCCCTACCATGCTTAGTATAACCTTACCCTAAATTTTAGTTATCCTGAACCACAAGGTTCACTTCTGTGTTACAGTGTGCAAAGCAATGCCCTCTACCTCATTGAATACAAAAGAGGAAGTATCAGCCCCAGTTGTCACTCTTATAATCATGAGGGAAACCAGTCTGAAGAAAAGGGCAACATGCACAGGAGGGCAAATTCAAGAGAATCACAGAGGAAAGAAGCCAGTGTCATGACTGAACCATTCTTGAAGCCTGTCTGACCTCTGGACTTTGCTGTTATATGAACCAGTAAGTCCCCTGCTTTGTTTCAATCAGTTTAAGTTGAGTTTTCTGTAATTTGCAGCCAAAATCATCCTCAGTAAGAGTTACTTTCCTAAAGCATCTAGTACAATCCTTGGCATACTCATCCATAAAAGTCCAGTTCCAATGTTGATTCCCCACTGAAACTTGTTCTAAACCCTAAAACACAATTTATTGCTCTATCCTTTGTGTACTCATAGCTCATTATACATAACTTTGCTGTATAACATACCACAGTGGGCTATTTATTTACA